TGCATATTATTCTCCACTTTCTTTTGTTGCAAGAAGTAGTATTTAAAGATGCCGGAGCAAACTAAACTAACTCTGGCTAATGGGGAAATAACTAGTTCAGATTCTCAAGAAAATCAGAAGAAGTAAATTACAAAAGCAAATGTATTAGATATAATATGCTAAACCTAGAGATATTAGTTTAGGTGCTCACAGGAACAACATAGTAGAAACCATTTGGAATTGGTTCAGAAAGTATTCCGGTGCTCCAAAGTATCTGTGATGCCATCTTACACGACAACAGACCATCTTCTACATTGTAGGTAGGTTCTTTATTTCTCAGAATTTCTTCTTTAGAATCCAAAGAGACAGATCCAAATTTTTCAAGGAAATCTAAAGACCTCCACTTAGCAACGCAGTACCTATGCTCTGATGGAGCATCATCTCGTGTGTCCTTCATGTCCATAAATCTTGAGATGCAATACCATCTCGCTAAAACTTCTTACCCCATAAAAGCATTTACAAGCTACAGGTATTCTTAAAGACACGAACTCTTCGATATATAAACTTCTTTCCCTCCCACTTCCATAAGCTGGAGGTGTACCTGAAAAGTCGAAAAAGTGTTAAAACTCACAGTCAATAAGTATATCCTTAATTCAAGATGATTAAATACTTTTAAGAGGCATGCTCAAAAGCAGAATGACAGGAAAATGATAAGTACAACAATAAAGGTCCACATAGCTGACAGAACCACATTAAAACTATGCAGTATATGATAAAAAGAAAAGAGATGTAGCAACAAACAAGCCCCACGAACATTGAACTGAAAAAGATAGAAGGAAACATAAAATAACAAAACAAAAATGAAAGTAAAGAAAGAAAAAAAGTTGGAAGAATAAAAAACCTTGAAAAGGTGAAAGATAAACAGGGAATTGCAACTAAACGTCAAAAAGAAGAAACAAAATTTTCATTAGAAATGAGACAAATAGAAACCCACAAACTCCATACAGTGTAAAGGACTTCGTACATAAACGATGCAGAGTTGATAAGTAGTCCATAAAAAACACTAGCTATGTGATCTACCAGATAAATTGAAACTCTGTACTTCCTCTTATGATTCTGATCAGTCAGCATGGGCCACTTGTGATGCGGACAATAAAAAGCTCTAAGCAAGATCAAAAGAAGAAATTTCTAACAATGCAGGATTCTTTGAAGATATTTTACAGCTCACGAACCTTTGTAAACCTTTAGTATCCAAAAGCAAATTAAGTACTAACAAAAAGAACTTATATTAAAAGCTCTCCCACCTTAAAAGCTTAGATTTTTGTTTGCCTCCATGAACACTTACCAGATTACACAGATCTTGAGTTATAGCCCAAAAAAATAATAATAATAACATAAAATAAAAAAAGGAGAACTATCTCAATTTATAAGTAAATTCACTCGTTTATAAAACATTTAACTTGCTGATGAAGCATATCAAGAAAGGAAAAGGCAAGCCGTTCAATTCTAAAATTGTTAAAAACCTTGGAAAAAAAATATTTTTTAAGCTTTTCAAGCATTACAAGGAATAATATAAACTCGAGAATACGAAGTGAGCACGAATGTAGAACCACAAGATACATAAAAGGCCAAAAACAGAGAACAAAAGTAGTAAACAGACAATTCCCCTCTTTATTGTGATTCTAAAGATGAAGTAGTTTTCATTAAGTCCCATAACGAGCTTCCTCCTCTAAACTTTAACTGAAGTATTGGAAGAAGGGAGAGTGGAGGGAGAATTTGAGCTTGGCATGAAATGTACAATCAACACATAAATTTCTTCTGGACTTCTAGATTTTTATTCTCGATTTTTTCTGGAAAAAGAGAAAGTCCATTCCCAGTGTATTCATTCAACAGAATGGAAGAAACTATTTAGAGAGACCAAAAGCATTGTCATTCCTGATTCTTAAGAGGAATGGAAGAAAAGTACACTTCATAACTCTATAACTCTATAACTCTACAATATACAAAATCAAGCGTCCAATAATCCCCAGAAGATTGCACAACCCTCAAATGATGTATAATTTAATCCCCTTATTTCAGTTCATGTTTCAAATAGTACGCTCAAAGCTCTGTGGTCTGTGGATCTTCGATCCCTAGACATCCAACAACCTAAAATTCTAGTTGTGGTTGTTGGCATGGCAAGTAAATTCCCTAGAAAAGGAAATCATTAAACAACAGTACAACAAAACTCTGTTCGTGCCCAATAAAGCCATATATTGTCATCTTTCTTGTGTTACTTGTACTGGGATTAGAATTTTCTCTTCAGTGACCAACATTATCCACGAAAGAAGATCCGTAGGATATAGATGACCCCCTAAGACTCACCACTAACCATATACTTACTCTATCACCAGAACCAACAATGTGCAGCTTCGGCGTGCCCTTACAGCTAACAATTTGATGGTACACGCCACTATAAATATCATATTCGGATTTCAAGCTAGCCATTTCACTACATCAATCTAACAGTAACTTCTTTGAATTTCAGTTTATCAAAGCCATAATTACTCAGCAGTAAGTCCTCGAAAACTCTGGCACATAAATGATGCACATACTCACGGTCATGAGGTATAATTAATACTAGAATGATCAATCCAAACAGCAATGCTGAATTTCCAGGGGCAAAATTCTTACTCTTAGCCTCTCAAAAAACTCAGTTCACCACAGAGGACAATCTCATTAGTGGCAACGAATCTCCTAAACACAAACTCAGCTAAAATTGTTTTATTTAAATATTCACAAACATTTTCAGAAACAAAATTCTATCACTAGATATCAATTTCCACTGGCAAACATCACATTAAACAAATGCAGGATCACTCGCTAAAAAACCTACAACTACAATTCAATGTCCACTGTCCAGGTCATGCACCACCTAAAATCAGAAACTCAACACGAAATTTCTCGACTCTATTTTCCAGACATTCAGTTACAGCTACATGCTCAAAAATCAAGAATCTAATCACTTCTCCTTCATTCGTTTCCCCACATGCAAGCTCCTATCAATATGAATAATCTAAAATCCAAAAGTTAAATTTAAATAATCAAAAATAAAAACCAAAGCATTCAAAAAAAGAAAAAAAAATATATATATATATATAATCAATAAATTACAAACAGATTAAGCGTGATCGACGAGCTCACCAGCAACAGATCGTAGCAAAGAGAAACACAAGTCACATTTGAATCCTCGGAGTTTCCGCTACCAAATTTCGCCCGTCTAAATCGAAGATTTGAAATCAAAAAAGATATTATTCGAGTAAGGGAGAGAGCGAGAGTTCGTAGATGCAAACAAACAAAATAAAGTGATTATACATATACACGCTTATATAAGAGGCGGGGTTTTATTTGACTGCAATTAATATTTTCGGGGTTTTGTAAATTAAAAAATATGCTATTGATTTGGTTTGTTGAACAATATTTTTGACTCGATGTACAATCTATTCTTGCACAAAGTACAACGTTTGAAGATGTTTTGTTGGACTCAAATTCGCAAAAGGTACAATATATTATGGATTGCGTACAATACCAATTTAATTCCACCGATGGTCACTAAATAGGGGTGAGTCACGTGGTTGCGAGATCTCGAATAACCAGCTGGCAAAGGTAGGGGTGGCTGACCAACAACCACGCCTTCTTCCGCGTGAACTCTTTTAAAAGTCTGCAACATTGTGCAAACTTTAAACTCTAAAGCATCCCAACCCAACCCCACTCCACCCCAACCCACGAAGAAATATTTATTTCCCATTTTCTATTTTTAAGTATTTTTTGTTAGGTTAGAAGTTAGTCGAGATGGCAAAAATCTGACTCCCATTTCGTCGTGTCTCGACAAGAATTGGGGTGAGAACGAGAAGTACGTTTTTAATCTTGCACTGAATCTAGCTTGACCTTTTTATTGTAAATTTAAAGATAAGATGATAAATGAAGATATTTTAATCTTTGCACTGTCCAATTATTTCTAGAAAATCTCCGACATAGGAGTGGAGACAGTGAGACGACCGGCCCTGCTCTTTCCATTGCCGTGAAATTTATTAGACAAAAATGTAGATTTATCTCACCGTATAAGCATTGAACGAAAAACAAGATTACTATAATTCATGCATTAAATGTGTATTCGATTCCGTCTTTCAATTTAAAGCTTACAATGCATAATATTCAATGGTAAACGAGATTACTTTACATGCAAGTAATCTTAAATTTTCTTTTACAATTTGAAAGTCAATCAAGTGGGAATGTTTAGGTCTTGTTTTAGTTTTGTGTTAGGTAGGAACTGTAACTTTGTTTACTGGAATTTGGTGCAATATTGTGGCATTAGAAACTCGTGCTATTATAAGTTGAATGCAATTTGTTTGAATGTGGACCAAAGAAGTCAATTAGTTTGTATTTTTCAACCATCCAACTGTACATGACTAGTGGACAAGTGAACCACTTGTCGGTGTAATGAAAATAAAATTGGTTAATCGTTTGCTCGTCTAATGTCTCATTGTCTTCTTTTTTAATTATTTATCTAGCTTTTTTTTTGTTAGCTACAACGTGCAATTTTGTCTTTGACTTTGTGATAATGTTCAGATTCTTTATTGAGGGTCGTGGGTAGGAGATAATTCTAAAAGGTTTGGCACGATGTTCAATGGATTTTAACACTCCGTTTAATTCACAGTGGTAAGCATTTGAAGCAACCAGCGCCGCTACTGCAACCTCGTCAACCGGATTTGGGTTTGTGACCAATGATTATACAGTGATTTTCGATCTGATTTTGCGATAGTTGTACAATTTTGGATCTGATTTTTTGGTGATTGTAGAGTGATAATGGGGTATGTTTTTATTGGTAGTGGTGGTAAGGTTGTGGTGGTGATTGTAGTGTCGACTTTGGGGCGGCACTACCTGCAGCATGAGCGCCATCACTACAAAGACCGTTGTGTAATCCGGAAAAATCTAGAGTTTTTAGGTGCATGATTTTTTGGAAGTAATTAGTGGAGGTGGCAATGGCGAGGGTTGTGGTCGTAATTGATAATTTCGGATTTGATTTTTGGTGGTGCTTGAGTGGTGGTGGTGATGGCAATGGCGATGCAATAGTTGTGGGTAGGATGGCGTAGGGGTAGGGTGTGGTTAGTTTGTGACAATTTTTTTGTGAATTGTGACCAATAAATTGGTTAATTCATAACTAATAAATAGCATGTGGCCAATTATTTGGAATTGCAACCAACAAATACCATGTAATCGATAATTTGTGCCTGATAAATAATACGTGACCTGAAAATTTGAATCGTGGCTTGTAAAATTTGTTATTTGTGACCTATAAATAAACTGTAACTTATAAATCTTTTGATTGTGTTCTATAAAATTTTCGATACATGACCGTAAAATAATTTGTGACATATAAAAATTCTGGCTTGTGACCGAAAAATAATATGTGACTAATTAAATTGTAAATTTGTGACCAAATTGTAAGATCTATGACCTTAATATATTTCATTAATAAAATATATAACTAATTAATTAAATCATAAATATTGTTTATAAATATCTGATTTTTGAAATTCGAAACTTTTGTTCTTAGTTTTGAAATGAGTAATACTTAACTTTTTAATTATGCATTATTTTTCCTTATTGAAGAGGATAATATTTAATGATTAAAAAGAAGATGTGGAAATTAGAATAGCTGCCCTAGTTCTTTAATTCCAAAATTACTTTTATTTTGACACATCGAATTAAATCGTCCTCTATTTTATTTAGTTAAAAATTAGTTTTTTTCAATAGATTTTAATAAAATTGATTTTTTATTGAAAAATCGAGAAAAGTGATAGATCTCATGGAAAATATAGTTGCAAATGAGTTCAAAGAAAAATAAGTTTCAAAAAGAGAGACCAAATATAGGCTATATAAGAAATTGAGTGTAAAATTAGATGAGATAGTACTAGGTAGATAATATTATTGTAGATTAAAGTTGATAGTATTTCTAAGTTTCTAATTAAGAAAATGCTAATTTCCACGATCTTTCTTATTCGACCTAAGTCCACATCCCACTATGTATTATGTTATCGATTAGTTTAAGAAAGATATGATAATTTAAAATTTTTAAATAAAATATTTTAAAAACATGGTCCACTCTAATAATCTCTAATACTATTTATGTACTTGAACAAACCATCTAGCTGCTAGCAATAGGTGGAAAGTGAAAAATCATACTCCAAAAGGCAAATAATTCAATTTCATGAGTGGACAAATAAAGGTAAAATAAATATTAAAAAATGATCAACCTAATAATTAAGAGTTAAATGTTTGAATACACACTGTACTTTGTAAAGTGTCACGTTTCACTTATCGTACTTTATTTTGCACCCGATTACTCACTGAACTTTGTTAAGTTGCACTTCATTGCTCACCGGCTAACTTCCATCCCTTTCAAGCGCCTACGTGGTAGACGGTTTCACACATGGCTGTTAAAAACTGGAACAAAAAAAAATGCCAGGCACATAAATGAGCCCAAACATGCCTCACCCACATAATTGAGCCCAAACACGCTTCACCCTTTTGAACCATTATTGCAAGTGAATATATAATATCTCCCAATCTCAACCACATGGTGCACGAATGAACCATAGCCATCAAAAAACTGAGCCAAATATTTCACAGTTGAAGCCCACAAACCAATCACTACTTTTGGAGGAATTTAAGAAGAGCACATGGAGGGACCACTTCTAGGTATATCCAACAATATTTTTTGGTTTTTTCTTTCTCCCTTTGCCATGTATTATCTATATTAAGGTTTTAAAATTAAGTGCTAGAGCATGCAATCTTGAGGTGGTTCTTGAAATTTGGGCCGTCCATCTTTATTTCGTGATTTTTCCTTTTTTTCCCTTAAATCACAAAATTCCCTTTAAATTTAGTTAGAAATAAGAGAAATGAAATTTTTGGATTGTTCGAAATCTTTATGTCTATTCTTTATTTTATGATTTTTTGTGTGCTCTGCTATACATGTAAATGAACTTGGGATAAAGAAAATGATTTTTTGTTATGTATTAAAATTTTTTTGGACATCTGTACTTATAATTTTAATCACTATCTCTAGTTATGAAGTTAAATATCATATGCTATTAAATGGTTATTCACTAGTTAACTAAGAATTTTGCAATCAGAATGTTTGGATTATGCAATTCTGCCTCTTTGATATGTAGAGAACGAAACTAATTCTGATGATTTTCTATCTCTTTTTATGTGATAGAAACGGAAGAGGATAACTCTAACTTCAATGACTCTGACAATGATATATCGTCCGATGCAGACGATGTGCTATTCGAAAGAAATGTTACAGAGGGAATTAAGTTAAATTGTGATGGGAGGGAAACCATTAGACAGGAAAAAGGGGATTAAGTGGTACTGGTGCATGATGAACAGCCGGACATCGATGATATGGAATATCCATCGATTGAAGAACTATTGTCCGGTGTATCATCTGACGATGAGGTAGGGTATCGATTTTCAGAGTTTAGGGCTGAAATGGATATGCGTGATCCGAAGTTTGAGGTAGGTCAATTGTTCAATTCTATTCAAGAATTTAGGAAGGCAATTTGGGCTTATGGTGCAGTGAACGGCTATAATATTAAGTGTAAGGCGAATGACGAAAGAAGAGTTCAAGGCATCCGTAAATCAGAATGCAAATGGAGAATATGGGCTTCTAAGATGAATAATTCTGAAACTGTTCAGGTGAAGTCAGATATGTCTCAACACATATGCAGTGGGGATCGTTACAATCGTCATTGTAACTACATTTTCATAGTCAATCGATAGAATCAGCAGTTCAAGGTAGATCCAGAGTGGAAAACGAAAAGTATGCAAGCAACCATAAAGGAGGATTTAAAAGTAAACATTACTAGAAATGTCGCTTGGAAGGCGAGAACATATGCGAAACAACTGATAAACAGGACTATCGAAGAACAATTTGTGTCGCTAAGGTCGTACGCGACTAAGGTATTGAGGACTAATCCAGGATCCACAGTGATGATAGGACTTAGTGGACAGGTGTTTCAAGGTATATACATCTGTTTTAGTGCTTGTAAATTAGGGTTTCAACATGGGTGTAGAAAAATCATTGGAGTGGACGGGTGCCATCTTTGGGGTGTTTGGGCTAGTATACTGCTCACTGCAGTCGGCCTAGATGCAAATGACTGTATCTATCCTATTGCATATGTTGTTGTTCAAAAGGAGAACAAGATTGCTTGGAGATGATTCCTAGAATATTGAGCTGAGGATATTCAGATGGGAAATGGGGCTAAGTGGACTGTGATAACAGATAGGCAGAAGGGATTAAGTAATGTCGTTGATGAGTTATTTCCAGAGGCGGAGCATAGGTTTTGCGTCAGACATATGTACACAAACTTTTTCAATACGGGATAAAAGGGGAAGACTTTGAAGGACTTGCTTTGGAAGGCTGCTAAGTCTACTACCTTAGCAGACTTCAGATTGTGGATGCAACAAATTTGTCAAGTTAGTGAATGAACGTATAGATGACTTTGAAGGACTTGCTTTGGCGGGCTGTTAAGTCTACTACCTTAGCTGACTTCAGACTGTGGATGCAACAAATTCATCAAGTTAGTAAAGAAGCATATGCATGGCTAAACGAGAGGCATCCGAGCGAGTGGAGTAAATCTCATTTTAGGACACATTCAAAGAGTAACATTTTATTGAACAATTTGTGTGAAGTTTTCAATAAAATGCTGATAGAGGATACGAAAAAGTACATTGTAACGATGTTGACAGATATGCAATTGGGGTTTATGACTAGGATTGAGAAGGTCGAAGTAAGATGATCAGGTGCAAAGGGCGATTGTGCCCGAGGATTAAGAAAAAGCTTGCTAAGATTGTTGAGATGTCCAATGAATGTACGTTACATTTTTTAAGAGGACCTAGATGGTAGGTGGACTGCATGTCAGGGACCTATGTCGTTGACTTGGAAGAACGAAGTTGTGCATGTAGGTGGTGGGACTTGTCGAGAATACCATATAGTCATGCCCGTGGCCGTGATAAGGGAGTGTAGAGATGATCTCAAGGATTATGTGGATAATTGTTACACCATTGAAACGTACTTGAGATGCTACAATAACATCTTGAATCCTATTAATGGAATACGATTGTGGCCCCAATTGGACACTATACCCATCAATCCACCTTCATGGACTACTTCGCAAAAAGGGAGAAAGCAAAAGAAAAGGAGAAGATAGACAGATGAAAATATTATTGCACACTCTAAGAGGGGGATCGCATGTTAGAAGAAAGGGAATGGTATCGAAAACATGCTCACTATGTGGACTAAAAGGACACAACAAAATATATCACTCCAAGTCTAATGCACCGGATTTTGTAAGTACTTTATCTGCTATATACTTGATTATTTCAAATAGAATAAAATCGAACTAACTAATTTTTCTAGTTACAGGACTGATATGAAGGAGCATTGGAGCCAATTGAAACTGGAAGGCACGTGACAGAGGACGTTAGGAGACATGCTAGTACTTATATTATTCTTGGTGCATGTGTGTAACATATTGAAATTATAAGTTTTTTACTAACATGAAATTAATGTTTGCGAATAGGGAAAATTGATTCCAGACCGTGGAAATGGAGCCTGTTTAAGTCACACACATGATGAAGTCGAAAATTTTTAGTTCATGCCAACTCCAGGCTTCGAGCATCAATCTTAAATATTTTTAAGTTCATTCCCACACTCCACTGACCATTCCTGATCAATTCGATATAAGACAATCTGAAACATTTTTTGTGAAACTATATTGGCATGTGTAGTTGATGTACAAAGGTAACTATGGGTGATGGTTCAAAAGGTGTCCTTATGATGGTGTGGATGGTGTTCTTGTCGTTGTGATGGTGTCCAATTTTTGTGTTGCTGCAGGTTTATTTTTGGATGTAAAGGCAGCAATAATTTGATATCTAATATCATTTAGGTAATACGTTTCATGGCACCTTGAATGGAAACATGCGTTGACAATTTGTTGATATCACGTGATGACAATTTGTTATGGTTTTCTAGCAGTTTTACTACTGCCTTTTTAAATGAAAAGTTTATAATTGGGAAGGGAAAAGTGTGTGATTGGAACGAATTTTCATCAAATTTTTAGAAAAGCAGTTTTACCATTTAATAACAATATATTAATGCTGGATACATAAGAACTCTAGGCTTACAAACCAATAACAATAGCAATATATTAATAGCAGTTTTACCCATGCTTATAAACTAATAACAATATATTAAAGAGGAAACTAAAAACATTAAATCATTACACTCCATTACCGCTGGATACATAGGAACTCTATGTACTAGAAGAACACCATCAATATAAAATTTAACATGTTTTACACTACCAATAGTAGAGATTCCAGTAGTAAAGATTCCACCCAATAACATTTAACTAAGTACCCACAACATATTTAAACTAATTATACTACTAATAGGCTCCAGTACATCTCAACATCGACCATCGAAGATTGAGAAAGTTAAAAATAGTTTACTTCTACAACACACAAACTGAAAACATGAAAAATCTAGTTCTCCTTGAGTACACTGCGAAAGTTTTTCACAACTCTCCTCCTCTTCATTCACCACTATCTTCCGTGACTCTGTCACCTGCGTGAATGGTTAAGTTTAATGATATCTTGAATTCCTATGTTGTCTGCAACTGTGCCACATCCCCTTGTTCTTTTCTATCAAACAAAAAATTTTAATGAAATACCACAATATTACTCACAACTTTTTACATAAATTTGGTACAACACCCATTGTCTCAAAATATAACACATCTTATTCCATCAATATATGGACAGTCAAAATTTTGTCTCAAAATATAACACCAGTTAGACTGCAAGCACCGGGTAGTATGCAGCCGCCTCCATCCATCAGCAATCCGCTCCCGTAAACTGCAGAAATAAGAAATATACTCATATTCCACGAGAACATAAATCTATATTTGCTACACATACACTAACTTGGGAAAAATTTACTTGAAACAACAAATGCCTATGATTTTAACCAAAAATTACACAATGAAACTGGAATAATATTATCAATACAACATTACATAGACCAACCAATATAGTCCCAGTGATATTGGGGAAAAAAATGAAAAAATTTCTGCAATACCTGTGTTTGTGTTGACATGCTAAAAGTGCAGCCCAATTCGAATAGCCAAAAAAATGAAGCCCAACTGGACAATTCAGGATGAAGGCCCAAATAGGGTTATTAATGAATGCAGTGAAAGCCCACGAATGCAGTAACACCATCGCTCAAACTTACAAGACGCCCAAGATTTGAGCGAATGAAGTGCCTTGCAGTCACCCAACGTTATAACCCCGTTCTCGTCCAAACCTTCGAATCGCCCAAGATCTTAGTAAACACAAGGTATTATGGTTATCCAAAAGTACAGTTATCAAAGCAGTTATTGGGTAATCTTATCACGTTCTGCGATTCAAGAAGTTTAGTTGAAGACGGTTGAACGACAAAGAGTAGTGACAGCATTTAGAGACGGCAGTTCTACGATAAGTTGGCCACCATGAAGAAAGTGGGCAGTTATAAAGTAATTGAGCAGTTTCTAAGCGGTTGATCACAAAGAGAGCATCAAGGGAATATAAAAGGGAGAAAAGACATAGAGCAAAAGACCCCGAATCGAACACTCTCAAACAAAAAATATGTAATTTCAATTTCTTAGTTTAAACTTAAAACATTTCTTTTCAGTACTCGTGTGCTTGCGCCCCTTGGAGGCACTTCTGTTTAAGTTCCAATTGTAAAGTCATTGCCAATAAAACACTCCTTTTTGGGACTTTGTCTCAAGAGATTTGTCCCTTATACAATTATCTGATCCCTTTTTAATTGTTAGTGACTACCCGCGCGAAACAATTTGGCACGTCCAGTGGGACATTTGGTGTTTGGTGTTGAAGATACAAAAGGTGAAATAATATGCCTCAGAAATCCAATAAGGAAGCAACAAGTCAGGGAGGAGTCCAGTCTGTGATCGAGCGATATGAGGAGCAACATGGCTCTCCACGAACAGATGGACAGAATCAAAGTAATCACAGTCGTTACGAACCAATGACAGAGTTGAGTCCTCGAACCATGCTTGCATTACTCGGAAAACTCACACAAGATGTTATTGAACAGGTAAATCTACGAAGTATTCATAATATGGAGAGATTTACCCAGAATGGGAATGCACATTATGACAACATGGCCAAACAACTGAATACTTTGAACGAAATAATGAATAAGTTGGTATGCCAAATTTGTCAGCCAGTTGTGCCTCTTACAAACCACTTTCAAACTAGGACAATTGTAGGATATAATCCCCCAGTTCTAAGTTTAAATCAAGGGGTAGAACCACCTTTTGATCCCTCTACATCAAACCAGGGGGGTGGTGCAATACCAAATCAGAATGGTGGCATTGGTACGTCTAACAATCCAAATGTAAGAGATAATGTCCTAAATAATAGGCAGAATACCCCACGTGTTAATGAGGGAATAAATGTTCAGGCTAATGGTAACAATGGCCCAAATTATGGTAACTTTGTTCCCAATCAAGGACCAAACATCAGGCCTCAAGCAAATCAACCGATCAACCAACCTGTAGAGATTTCATATGACCCCAACGTCATATTGAGGAATCAGATTATGGAAATCGTACAGGACCAGATAATTTTTGGAGTACGTCCTGTCATTAGGCCGACTTACATAAAGCCATATCCTGATTGGGTAGACCAAGCATATCCGTGGCCTAGAGGGTATAAAGTGCCGGAATTCTCACTGTTTACCGGTTTAGGAGAGGTGTCTACTCTTGAACACATAGGGCGATTCACACTGCAAAGTGGTGACGTAACTGATTACCATAAAATGAGGTTATTCCCTAGTTCATTAACAAGAGTAGCCTTCTCATGGTTCATCAATTTGCCAGCAAACTCTGTTCAAACATGGCAAAGTTTGGAGCAATTGTTCCACGCTCAGTTTTATAAGACTGAGTCTGAAGTTACTTTGACCGATTTGGTGAATCTACGTCAAATGCCAAACGAATGGGCAGAAGGTTTCCTTCAAAAGTTCAAAACAGCAAGAAGTAAATGTTTTGTACCTTTGCCCAAAAAGGAGTTTGTCAAAGTCGCTCAAAGTTGTCTAAACTTTGATTTGAAGAAGAAGTTCCAAGACAAATAATTTCCTGATCTTTTTCAATTGAGCG